TTTTTATATATCATTGAGTCACCTCTGAAGGGAGAAACTTTGGGAAAGCCACTTTTCTGCTTCTCAGTTTCCTGGAAGTAAATAGAAAATGATAATGTTTTTCTAATTTCTAGATAATCTGAATGATCACTCATATTCTATAAGGATGGGAGCAGTGTTTGCCCCAAAATGAAATATTTTAATGGTTTTCCCTTGGCATGAGTCAGAAAAAAATTAAAATGGTGATCAATCTAATGGAAAAAAGTGTAATAGGTGTCTATTATTATTATTCAGGTTGTAGTTTGCACAAAGAGAAAAGTACAGTCTTAAGGGATTCCAGGTTGGATTTAGGACTTGAGAAGCCTAGCAGTCAGCTATGGGGCATTTCCTCTTTGCGTTGTGGTGAAATGCTTTGATTCTGACTTGTGTATCTCAGAGTTCTAGGACCTAAGATTGTAGGTCGCCAGCATCCTCCTGTTCCCACTCAAGAGTTCATTTAACAGACATCTTTATAAAGATGACTTTCAAAATCATCTGATTTTTATGTACACCATACAGATGGGACCTCTAGGTGTGCCTTAGGATTATGAGCTTTTAAACGAATAGCTAAATCACCGAGGGCAAATTGCTTAAACTCTTGGAATTCCATAATACCCCAGTTGCTCTGAGATTTAAATGAGATACTGTGCCTAAAGAGCTTAGCATAATGTTCGGCACGGAGCAAGCACTGGATAAATGGTAGATATCATTAATTAGAATTAACTGGAAGACTTGCAGGGGATGTAGAGTGCTTTCTTTTTTGCCTATGCTATACTTAGAGGATGTCCTATGTCTGGTGGTTAAAGAATAGTGCCCTCAGAGAACAGCAGCTTCTCAGAAATAGAAAAAGTGCCAGTCTAAAGTTAATTGTGCGTAAAATACATCATATGCTTTTTAATTACCTACTGAATTTTCTCTGGAGTGTGTTTCCTTTAGTGATGAAGAAATAGAAAAACTGCTTATGCAGTTGGAAGCTATATGTACCTTTCATTTAGTGAAATTATTTTATATTAAGTAAGAGCTACAAAAACACAAAAGAGATCTTACTGTCTTGGAACTCAGAGGCTGTGAATGTGTTCTTTATGAGGTCAGAAGAGAGGCTTTGTCTTAGATTTTTTTAATCCCGAGATTTGCATTTTCCTTTCTGATTTACTCCAGTGACATCAGGTTTCCCTCTCTCTTGAGTTTCTTGTTGTGCTCCCAGTCTTGGACTCCGTAGCAGCATTTCTCCAGAAGCCTCCAAGCACTGGCGGGAGCCGCTACCATCCCCGTAAATGGCACGGTTGTTGGCACTGGAAAAAACATCCATAGCAAGCAAGCTGTTCTACCTTTCTATAGCCAGAGCCCCCAGAGTATTCACAAACAGCACCAGGAAGGCGTAACTGTAGATTTACTCTTAGAGTAATTAAAATTAATGACCCGCTTTCTTCATTTGGGCTGTAATTTTCCCCTCTTAGAATAAGAGGACCGTACATTTTATTCTATCCAAATGGAAGATCACAGCTAAAAAGCAGGCCTATCCATAAACATGAAACAGCTTAATTTTCTGTATGTTTAAGCTTTTGCTAATAAAAAAGACCTTAAAAAGGAAACACCTCAGTCCCTTTGAAGGCTGGAGCCCACCTCAGAGAAAGCCGACTAGCGGTTGATGAATGGAAGCACCGCTTCCATTCGGGGCTCTGCGATCCAGTACATCCTCCCAAGCGCCATTGTGGGCAAGCTTCTCAGGACAGACTGGCGAGTACCTGGTGGGGGACGCAGTGCCTGCCCTTAAGAAGTTGAGCTCAGTTCAGTAAATGCCCTGTGCCTGCACTGATGCTCACCACCTAACAGTGATTGTCTTTACCACGTAAGGTGAGCTCTAAGTGCGATAGGAGAACATTTTTAAATCCAGTGCCACAGAATTCAAAGACAGGAAGATTTGATAGCTCTGCTTTCTGAAAGCACCAATCAGACACAGTGGGGAAGACATTCTCCAATAATTACCTGAACACCAGACATTGATTCAGGTATATTCCACATGTCATCTCATTTTAAAATTGTGATTTAAAGTTCCTTATTTAGGGGCGCCTGGGTGGCTCAGTTGGTTAAGCGACTGTCTTCGGCTCAGGTCATGATCCCGGAATCCCGGGATGGAGTCCCGCATCGGGCTCCCTGCTCAGCGAGGAGCCTGCTTCTCCCTCTGACCCTCCCCCACTCATGTACTCTCTCTCTCTCTCATTCTCGCTCTCTCAAAATAAATAAATAAATCTTTAAATAAATAAATAAATAAAGTTCCTTATTTATGTGGCGCCTGGGTGGCTCAGTCGGTTAAGCATCTGCCTTCGGCTCAGGTCATAATCCCAGGGTCCTGGGATCAAGTCCTGCAAAGCTTGTGCTCTCTCTCTCTCTCGCTCGCTCTCTCTCTCAAATAAATAAAAATTTTTTTTAAATCTTATAAAAAATAAAATTGTGATTTAAAGTTCCTTATTTATGAGGCACCTGGGTGGCTCAGTCAGTTAGGCATCTGCCTTCAGCTCAGGTCATGATCTCGGGGTCCTGGGATAGGGCCTGTTGCAGGCTCCCCGCTCAGTGGGGAGTCTGCTTCTCCCTCCGCCTCTGCCCTTCCCCACTGTTCATGCTCTCTCTCTCTCAAATGAAAATAAAATCATAAATAAATGAAACAAAATTCCTCATTTATTGTTCACTGTAAATGAAAAAGATTGAGAAATATGGTTTGCAAAACAAAGTGATCATGACAGACATACTATTTTGTAACTAGGTTTTTGCTGCTTAGTACCTTTGGACATTTTCTATGTCATTAAGTATTTTTCACACTGCTCTTAATAATTACATGACTTAACTATTTTTTGCCTTATAACTAAGGTAAGAAGATATAAATATGAGACAAATAAAACCATGAAAGTATTAGGAAGTATAATTTAAAGGGTGGGCACTTCAAATATATATATATAAATATATATTTTAGGGCAGTGAAATTGAGAGGAAGATACAGAGATTTCCCATATGCTCCTTTTAGATTACCAACATCCCCCTCCAGAGTGGTACGTTTGTTACAGTTGGCACACTGACACATCGTCATCACCCAAGTCCAGAGCTTACATCGGGGTTCACTCTTGGTGGTGTACATTCCGTCGTATCAGACAGATGTATAGTGGCATGTGTCCATCATTGTATTCATCCAGAGGCTGGGCACATCTTTAAATACATGATATTAGGGGCACCTGGGTGACTCAGTCGGTTAGGCAGCTGCCTTCCGCTGGGGTCATGATCCCAGGGTCCCACATTGGGTTCCCTGCTCAGCAGGGAGCCTGCTTCTCCTTCTGCCTCTCCCACTACCCCTGCTTGTGCTCTCTCTCTGTCGAATAAATGAAATCTTTAAAAAAATAAATAAATAAACACATGATATTAAAAAGATATAAGCCTTAACAGAAAAGAGGAGTAATTTTGAACATCGCCAAATTAAAAATTCTTTATGTATTAGAGTTATTATAAATAAAATTTAAAGGCACTATCATGTAATTCTCACAACAGTTTTATGAAGTAGGTGCCCAGATTCCTTTTCAAGAAGAGAAAACTGAGGGGCACCTAGGTGGCTCAGTCAGTTGAGCACCGACTCTTGGTTTCAGCTCAGGTCATGATCTCAGGGTCCTGGGATGGAGCCCTATATGAGGCTCCACTCTCAGCATGGAGTCTGCTTGAGGGATTCTCTCCCTCCTTCCTTCTGCCCCTCCCCACCATACTCATGCATGCATGGGCACTTTCTCTCTCTCCCTCAAATAAATAAATACATCTTAAAAGAGAGAGAGAGAAAACTGAGGCACAGAGAAATAGTGTGGAGATCAGTGGGTTTCTGGGAGGTTGATTACCTTGGTGAATACAAAAGCTGATAGAATGAGGGGCATAGTGAGTAGGTAGTTCCAGTTTAATCTCTGTAGCAGGCTTTGAGGTGCATACCCGCTTTACCCCTTCAAGATGATGGATGAGCTTCATTTCAGACAACTCCATCCTTTGAAGTATTCATTTCCATACAATTTTCATTATGATGGCTATGACAAAAACCTTTTCCAGGTGTGTCTTCAAACAGAAAATTTCAGAGACATCAAGAACAGACAAATGCAAAGTACAAAAAGTGGAAATCCCTTTTTACTGTCCCTTAAATAGTAGAAAATTTCAAGGCCTCAGTTACGTTGGGACAGTATAGATCATTAACTACTTATTAAAGAGACAGGAGGAGAAAAGCCAAAACTGTGTGAGGTATTATCAGTGGGATGAAATAAAAGATTGATTATAGCATAGTTTTTCAGTGGAAGAAACGGAAGTAAAAAAATTTAGAGTGTAAATGTTTTTAGATCATATTTAGGTGAATTCAATCAAGTTAAAAATCCCACCACATCTTGGATAAGAGCAGATAGCTCATTGATTGTGTATAGTAAAATGTTTCTCTGCAATTGATCTAAAATTTGATTTAAAATGGGTATATAATATTTACCTCCTCTGGAGTAACAAAATTTATGCTATGTAATAACATTGACATGTTTTCAGAGTCATGTTTAATGGGCCCTCCAGAACTCTGGTGAATACCACATCTTGGTCTGTTTTCTACCTCTTTTAGAAATCTGGAAAAGCGATAGGAAATATATCTGCCATTAAGTTTTTGCACTTAGCTCAACTATTGCCCTCTTAAAGTTTAGCAGAAGAGTCAAGGACTGTATATTCTTTATTAACTGCATTCAAAACTGAATTTAAGAAATGTTAATAGCTGTTTAGAATTAGTATTTGAATCCATACTACAAAGACTATTAAGATTTTTAGCATTATAGAGTCCTACACGGACCCACTTAAAAATGAATGGACTTCATTGTTTAATTCCAAGTATATACCCATCGATTTGCATGAATGTACAAATAAATACATGTATATTTTTATACAAAGTATACATATTGCATTTTTACAAGTGCATTTTATTTTTTCCCAAATAGATAAACAATCAGATCCTGTATGGAAGAAGTCACCAAAATGCATCTGCCATTATTAAGACCGCCCCATCAAAGGTCAAGCTGGTTTTCATCAGGTGAGATAGATACACGTCTGGTTTTCTAAAATCTAAGATCCCTTCTGAAGATATTATTTTGAAAGACTATCTTATCTTTGGTTTGTCTAACAAAATCACCGTATCCTAAAAATACCTTTTCCTTTTTTAACTGTCACTTTAAGGGAAGTATAGATTGTTTCAGTTATGAGGTTTTCTTGTTATTTACGTTTCATATGATGGACTTAGTGGTTGAGCCTACTATTTGTATTCAGTTTTTTAAATTTCTTCCCTTCCTGGACTGATCGTCACCTCAGTAGAACCTTCTAGCTTCCCTTCCTCCTGTCACCACCATGTGGTATATTTACTGACTCATTAATATCTTCATCAAGGAATAGGCAGGAAAACAGAACCCAGGAACATTTTAGGAACTTCATAGTAAGAGTGCTGGTGAGAAATCCAGAGGGGAGCAGACATGAGCTTTGCTGTCTAGAGTCGCGTGGTATGTTTGGGGTTCCACATTTTCCCTTATCCTCCCTGCTACCTGACTGCGTCCTTTTGGCATAAGTAAGTCAGAACTGGGAATTCCCATTGGTGGTAGCTATTGTTGCCTCATCAGCAATGGAATGTTTGATTCCTTTTATTGGACTGAAGTGACTGATGAATCTGAATTATCATTAAGTGATGTAACTGACCCTGTACATTAACTGTCACTCTGTTTCTTTTCCTTCTGAGTCTCAGGTATCAGCTGTAAAACGAGAATAATAAAGCACCTACCTCATTCATTGTGGTATGTCAAAAATTTGAAATGTTGAACACACTCTCTCACATAAAGGCTGAAAGAGTGTCGGCTGGTATTTTGTGACAGTGATGATCATTCTTCTTTCTACTGTTACTGGTTACCTGTCATTAAGACCTATCCATTCCCAGGGACCCCTGGGATTCAGGGTAGTTTTATTCCCAGATATGGGCACTGATGGAGGTGATTGACATACCCTTTCCCATGCCTTCACTTCAGCTACAGGGTGTTGTTGCTGCTTAGCTCCTAAAGAAATCTTACATTAGTAACCTCTTCTCCCACTCGGAGGCACTTCCTGGATTTCCAGGTTTTTATTCTTGTTTCCAAAGGGAGAATCCTTTCTCCTTCTTCTGTGTCTTTGTGTGTTAAGTCAACCTCCTCTGGCTCACTCACCTTGAAGTCCTCTGTTTAGGCACCAATCTCCTTTTTGGGTTTTTCTGCCCTTCCTGTCACCAGAAGTTACGAAATTAGAGTTAGATGCTGAAAACGTGAACAAACTTGAGGAAAGTTCAACCACTCAAAGCGATGACGGTGTCCATCGACAGAAATGCACGTCAGCTTGAACACTTGGCAGAGAGTCATGTGAGGGTTCCATGAGCAGGCACCCACAGCACTCAACCAGTATCTGCGCTTCATGCTCAGCACGTGGGGGCAACTTGCTGCAGGTGCTGTCCTTGATGTTGCTGTCACCTCTTCACTCATACGGGGTCATCCCAATTTAAAGAGCAAAAAGAAAATTGAATGGGATCCAAAGGAAACCATTAACGCAATTAAGTAATTGGGAAATAGAACCCTCCTCTTTCAAGAAAGAAAGGTTACATGATTTGAAATTATTTAGAATACAGAAGAGAAAGCTGGGGAGAATTTTAATAATAGTAATGAAGCCCCATTAATTTAGTGTCTGATGATTTCAATTTTGATCATTCACAGGAGATCAGAATCAAGGAAATAATTTGTTCAGTAAATTAATAGTGTAAGTATGATTGAGGATGCCACAGAATACTTACTTACTGGAAGGGATTTTAAGCAATTTAGTAGAAGTAGCCATGTACATTCAAAATATGCAATCGAATTATGAACCTTTCTTGCATGGTCGTTAAATTGTAGTGCCTAAACACATAGTCGGCATTCAGAAAGCTTTATTGAATAGATTTCCTTTCAGCTCCTTCTAAGCAATTCCAGATTATTTATTCTCCAAAGGCAACAATCATAGTAAGTTAGTTTGATTTATTTTGTGGACTTAAAGTTACATAGAAAAAAGATACATATAGATAAAAAATAATTCATTATTTTAGAAAATTTCTCATACTTAAGTCCCTCTCCTCAGTACTTTCCCAAATAATCTAAGTTGGGAAAAGTTTCTGTAGCTTCCTCTGTAGGGAGAAAGAGATGTAGGTGTGATTTTTGAGTAGTCTCTTGTCATCCACTTTGAGACTGTGTAAAGGAAAACGAGTTTAAATTGAATCAAGACAGATGTACGCACTGCTAACAACCTTTTGTTTGATCCAGTAGATATGTATGTGGTAACTTGTGTGCCAACATTTTATTAATGCTTCAGTTTCCGTAAGGGAAGGAACTACTCATCTGACTGAGAGCTTGAGAGCTCTTACCTAAGTGACAAATTCTTTTCTAAGCAAGCCTGAGATTCACCCTATCTCATGAAATCTGGCTCTAGAATACTCCAAGTGTGTGAGCTTGTTCAGTTTCCTGATCTGCAGTATGCGGGTGATATAGCTATCTCAGGGTGCCTGGGTGGCTCAGTCAGTTAAGCAGTCAGGTCTTGATTTCAGCTCAAGTCATGAACTTAGGGTCTTGGGATCAATCCCCACGTCGGGCTCTGAGCTCAGTGGGGGTCTGCTTGAGGATTCTCTCTCTCCCTCTGCCCCTCCCCCTGCTCACGTGCTCGCTCTCTTTCTCTCAAATGAATAAATCTTTTTTTAAAAAAAAAGTCAAGTGTTTAGGGCGCCTGGGTGGCTCAGTTGGATAAGCGACTGCCTTCGGCTCAGGTCATGATCCTGGAGTCCCGGGATCGAGTCCTGTATCGGGCTCCCTGCTCAGCGGGGGGTCTGCTTCTCCCTCTGACCCTCCTCCCTCTTATGCTCTCTGTCTCTCATTCTCTCTCAAATAAATAAATAAAATCTTAAAAAAAAAAAAAAGTCAAGTGTTTAAATATATATATATATAGCTGTCTCATAGATTGTCTAATGTTTTAATATGTATAAATTGTCTGGTGATGTGGGCTCAGCAATGTTCACGCTATGGTGATGAAGATGATGGTGTGGTGGCAGGAAAAGGGAGGCAGAGAGAGAAAGGAGGTAAAAGAAGTTAGGGAGAAGGAAAGAGGAAGAAAAAGATGAACCACTCCTTCATATATATTTTGTCTCATTCCAGAATCTTGAATATTTTTTTTAAGTGAAGCACATTCACAGTTTAAGAATTTTAATTAACATCATAATGATTAAACACTAGAAGAGATAGAACACTGGATATTGTATATAAGTGATAAATCACTGAATTCTCCTGAAACCAATATTGCACTGTATGTTCACTAACTAGAATTTAAATAAAAATTTTTAAAAATCACTATAAGAGATAGCTACAGATACTATATAAAACCATTTCCAATAAATGTTAGAATAAGAGACATGGGCATAGCCTGCCTGAAACATGTCTTTTAGTTCTGTGTCTACCACTGCTTCTCCCCCTCCTTTTTTTTTTTTTTTTTTTTTTTTAAAGCTCTACACCCCACATGGGGCTTGAGCTCAGGGCCTGGACAGCCCAAGAGCTGCATGCTCCACCAACTGAGCCAGACAGGCACCCGTCCTCCTCCTCCTTTTAAATGATGACCTGATACTCTTAACGAGAAGTAGAATACCACTTAATGAAAGAATGTATAAAGAGAAATCTAATTAATGTGAATTAATCCCCATGTCAATAAAATATATTATAATGTTACTGGGGTGAGTAACATCAAATAGTATCAGAATTTAAAACACTTAAGGAAATCAAAAAAAGAAAATACTTTATGCTCCTCTGCTTTGTACATCACCAGTGGGTTATAGTGGGAGATTGGTGACCTATTTATGTGTAGTAACCTGTGCATTTTGTTTATTTTATTTTTTAAAGATTCCACTTATTTGACAGAGGGAGAGAGCACAAGCAGGGTGAATGGCAGGCAGAGGGAGAGAGAAAAGCAGGCTCTCCGCTGAGCAGGGAGCCCTACTCGGGGCTCAATCCCAGGACCCTGAGATCATGACCTGAGCCGAAGGCAGATACTTAGCCAACCGAGCCACCCAGGCGCCCATAATCTGTGCATTTTAGGTGCTGTCCAGCATACCATTCTTTCTCCTTCAGGCTGATTATCTAGTTCATCACTCCTTTAGATACAACTCTGCCTATAGGTTACCTCTTTCAGACTATTGGTGTGAGAACCCTAGTTGTGCCTATTTTAGATCCAAATCCTAAAGCAGTTAGATACTGGTTTGCTATCAGGTTTCAGGAAGTTAACACTTAAATCATAGCACAGCAGATGCAATTACACTTTTCTTTTAAGATGCATAACTTATGCTGTATAATGTGACTTTAAACACTGATGTTTATAAATGGTTTCTTCATAGTTAGTGCTTCTATTTGCTGATACTTCCTTCCTTAGTTGAAATTACTGATTCTCTGTGCATTTCCATCATAGAGATATTGTTGGCTTCTATACCTCAGCGGCTCTTTTCCAGATTTATTGACAATTGAGATAAAAATGGGAACTGGACGCAGATTTGGGATTATGATTAGCAGTGATCACGGAAAGCTGTTAAAATGTGCTGCAGGCAACATTTTAATTAACGGGGGCCTTTAGTCTATAGTAATGTACATTTGTGTGATCACGTCCTTGTCATATTCTTTTAACACTTGTATTTATTCATATACTAACTGATCTGTAATTCACAGAAGGTCTGTGAGTCATTAGTGAAAATTAGCAAGTTGCTGCTCTGTGTACATGACTTACATGATCACTTTTTCCTCCCCCTTTGTCCCCACATGAGATTTTGGACAATCTGGTAATCACATACTTGTGTCTGTAACACATCTGGACTTCGGCATACTAAATTATTCTACAGTGGATAATCCAGGTGTATTTTACAATCTTGAGTTCTTACTATGTAGCACACATTCAATTCTGTGGATTTTCCCATTTGACCTTATCCCCGCTACATAAGCACTATAATTTTAGGTACAGGAGGAGAGCTAT